CCGGAAGTGTAGACAACTTAAATATGGGCTTGGCAACAATTCTCGAATGGTAGATTTCTATGCAAACAAAACACAAGCATGCCTTTCCTCTAGAAAAGCCGATCTCACTGTGCCCAACATAAGCTTGTCAGGAGTAACCATATACCTTTGAAGACCATTTCGATGCTTGATATTACTATCAGCAATAACCTTTCTTGGGAAAATCACGTGAGATCAATTGCTAAAAGTGCATTCCAAAAACTTGGTTGTCTGTTTCGGGCCAGGAGCTATATCACTTCTTGTCAGCTGCTCATGATCTATATAGGGCACAGATCCGACCTGTCCTGAAATACTGTTCCCATATTTGCATTGCAGCACCCAAACATATACCCTGAAACTGTTGGATTCTGTCCAAGAAAGGGCAATTCGTCTCGTGGGTGATGCCTCGCTCACAAACTCACTCACTTCTCTGGAACACGATAGAAAAGTTGGTGATCTGGCTATATTCTATAGATATTTTCATGGACGATGCTCTTCTGAAATATCAACAATTGTTCCTCCCTTAGCAGTCCCCGCGAGATTAACCTGTCGAGTTGAGGCTTCTCACCCCTTCGTGGTCACTTTGGAGACCTGCAGAACATCTCTTTTCAAAGACTAGTTCATCCAACGAACAGCGAAGCTCTGGAACACATTGCCATGGAAGGTGTTCCCCGAGGCATATAACCTCCAGAAATTTAAGAAGAACACCAATTCCTACCTTCTTTCCCTTGGTTCTCATGATCTCTGAACATAACAGGAGTTTAGTTTGCGCCGCATATATGAACCAGACAAGAACTAAGGCCAAATTTGGCTTCAACATCCTACGCGGAGATGGATCATCTTGTTAGTGTAAATTACTGTGAATAATCAAGGGTAGAACATACACGTGGTGGATTTCTTGGGCGAGGGGTCTGGCAGCTGCTAGATCTTTGTTTATCAGCTTCAAATTGGGAAAAATCTATTTCAAATGATGGCTTTATACTTCTTTCGTAATTGATTGAATACGTTCGAATTATCAATAAAAGCATTCAGATTCAGAATCAATAGTTTCGTGGAATAAATAATGTTTCTTCAAATTAAACTCGTAATCAATAGAGAATTGGAGTATCTTTTGCACAAGTGTAGAAAGTAATTCATCTTTTTTTTAGTGCAATAATGGTTATTTTTGATTTTTTTCTACTCTAACATTGAAATAGACGATTTCAATTAGCAGTTATCAATTTCCAATGCGGAATTGATAAGTCCAGAAATGAATGCGTTATTTTCTGAATCAGATTTTTTCAATCTTTCGAAGCGCACAAAACGAAATTCCTATAATGTTCGAAGAACATCGTGCCTTCCTATACTGGCTGACACTGACTCATGGTATACTTCCTTGTACTCCTTTGATTTTCTAGCTATATTTCTGAAATTTGGAACACCGAATATGCTAACTAGAGAACACTTTTCCTGGAAATGACTACAACTTTAGATTTCTGAACAGAACACCCTGTATTTCATACTATAATCGGTTAGAGATTATTATAACGAATTCAACAATACCGGGTTTGAATGAGTTAATTACGAAGATATTCGCGTTCGAAGTTTCCATAATTCCAGAAATATAGCTGGAAAACCAAAGGAGAAAAGGGGGGTATACCATGAGTCTATATCACCGGGTATAAGAAGGAATGTATTATTCATTCCATATTCGAATATACTCATTCTCAATTTGAAAGTGTTCAATCTCAATTTGTTATTGAGTTTTTCCAATTTGAATGCATTTGTTCTCATTTTCAGAAAAAATTAGTTTTGAATTGAAGTTGAGAAAGTGTAGTGGCATATTTAGTAATGTATTTATTGGGAGAAGGGTTATTCAACACGAAAAAAAAACATGTTTTTGAATAGAAGACAATGACATGTATTCAATATGTGAAGTTCATAGTTTGGCCATACATACATTTTGGCTTACAAAACTGTCCGATTTGTACCGGGAGACCGTTATGAAGTACTCAGTCCACACAGCATATCCTATGGAATCCATATTATGAGGCCCATACTCGGTTCATATGGACAAGACGACATTTATCACTAGTACAATATGGATATCCGATGGGGTATATTCACTGGACATTCAGTTTTTGTACAAACTGGACGTCCATAAGACTTCCCTTGTACATCCTTTCGTAGAATAGAAATATAACACAATATACAGGGTGTTTCGAAATTCGACCGACAACGCTTGACAGGTGATAGCCCTCGTGATTTCATAATCATTGAGATAGGAACATTCGGTCTTGAAGTGTTCAGTTCTCGAGATATAGGGCGTTGAAGTTGAGAAATTAAAATAGTTTTTTCTCGATATCTCATGAAAAATTGAATAAAATGCATTCAAATTTGATCTTCCAATGGTTAATTTTTTGACCAGAAAGACATTCCGAGAATTTTATCCAGAGGTGCGCTACAGAGGGTTGTGATAACTTTTCCGCACATATTTTCTACGCCACTGATGAAATTTCAATTATTTCTAATTTCTCGAATTGATTGTTCAATTATGTTGAAAAAGTGCATCACCTTCAACTAAGCTAAAATGAACAGTTATCGAGATATTTGACCCAAAATAGAAGTTTGCATAGTAATTTTTCATCTTCCTCAGTATTAGAAAATTACGAACATTTTTGTTCTCTCTTTATGCGTGGAATAACTATTTCTGTTCAGCTATAGCATGAGATCTGAATAGTATCTAATCTACTCAACACCAGAAAAATATTTTTGCAATTTTCTACTACTGAAAATGATGAAATATTACTATGCAATCTTCTATTTTGGGTCGAATATCTCGAAAACTGTTTATTTCAGCTCAGTTGAAGGTGATGCATTTTCTGTACAAAATTGAACAATGAATTCGAGGAATTGGAAATAATCGAAATTTAATCAGTGGCGTAGAAAATATGGAAGGAAAAAATGCCACAACCCCCTGTAGGGCACCACTGGACAAAATGTCCGGAATGGCTTCCAGGTCAAAAAATGACCCATTCAAAGATGAAACCATATACCGAAGTTGAATGCATTATATTCAATTATTCTTGAGATATTGCGAAACAACTATTTTCATTTCTCAACTTCAACGCCCTGTATCTCGAGAACTGAACACTTGAAGACCGAATGTTCCTATCTCAATGATTATGAAATCACGAGGGCTATCACCTGTCAAACGTTGTCGGTCGAATTTCGAAACACCCTGTATATACCATTTGCTTATCGATCACCTCTTCACATTCCAATAGTGGGTTTATCATGATTTGGTTTCATGTGATACAAAGGAAATACAAATTTGAAGCCTCCGTCTATTTCATTGGCGGAGGCACTGCGGAATATGCTCTCTTGAATACAAAATTTCTATTATTCAGAGTGGTGAATAATAAAAACGGCCAGTGGAGTAGCGCACCGCCAAAGGTCGTTGGTTGGAATCCCGTACTCCAAACAATTTATTTCAACTTTTTTCGAAGTGAAAAAATACAATGGAGGCATTTACTGTTGGGGCCGATACGTGTACATTTCCATTTCAATGAATGTTCTTCTTGGTCCATGATATGTCCATCACCTGGATCGGAATGGATATCTATTGGATGTCAAATGGATGTCCAGTGGAGAGCCATTGGATTTCTCTCTGTACATAATCAGACGTCTAATGGATATTAGTATGTCCATTATGAACATCCTTCGGACATCCATTGTATGTACATACGTATACGTGGGCTATATGGGTACCAAATCCCATTTTTGGCACTAGAAAAAAACTTGTATACCATGTTTCTCCTCGAATCAGTCGAATCAACAGATACATTTTCACCTTGTTACACAGAACATGGTTATAATATGTTGCTCATTTCGGTTTTGTGTTCCGCTCACAACGCTACAGAACTGTTATATTGTTCTTAAAAGAATCTTAAACCTGTTTATGTTGTCTGTAATGAGAAAAAAAGACGAACTAAAGAAACTGGAATGAAACTTTTTGTTAAAAAATAACATCGATGTGACGAAATAAAGTAGATTATTGTGGCTTGTCGTCAGATTAAATTCATTTTACATCTAGTCAAAAAATAATGTTTACTCAACTCTGCTTGTGTATTGGAAAAAACTCTTTCGCATTAGTACTAACACGGTAAATTTTCCGCCTGAGACTTCATGATTGTATCATATTTTTAACTGAAATATTCGTTAATCACGACCCACAAACTCGCAAACAACAAAATAACAATGGTTAGATCGTTAACCATGTGTTGTTACTGAGATCTTTAGCGAATCAAATCTCAGATTTATTTTTCACGACAGGATGCCAACTTGATATCCGATAGCTCTTCGGAAGGTTTTTTCACTGGTGATGAAATACAGCGTGTTCTATTTGGAATTCATAAGCCTTCTGCTGCTCCCTTTAGGTTTTCTCAGATAATGAAATTTTAACTGTTTATTCCAGAATAAGAAATGAATACTCTGTAGATGATCGAGGCTGTGGTGGTATAGATACTTCAGAACATGTCATCACGGTACAAAATATCAAGCATAAGTGAGAGTCATAAAAAACAGTGAAGCTTTTTATGAAACAATAATCACACTGAATTACGTTCATTTTTTAAAAAAGGAGTTAAGAATTAAACCTAACAAGATAACGATGTATTGGCATACAAATCCTAACGAGTCTTGAGAATTTATTCTTTTGATTTTGTTGTCGTGTTGGTTCTTTTCTTGTACTTTATAAACCAAGATATCAAAAATTATCTCAGTGGAGGACGGTCATCAAAATGATTGGAATAAAAACGAATGTGATGACCACCTATTAAAGGCACCTATTGATTGAGATCATTTTTGATATTATTTCGTTACTTCATAGCTTTTATTTGCTTTTAGTTATTGTATATAGTAATATCGATCTTTATATAGTAGATAGCCTATGTAGATAGCTTATGTTGCACAGGGTATTCTGGCAACCGTTCTTTCTGCAGTTGTGATGGGAGGAAGAAATCCTGAGCAGATTAATATGATGGCTAAACAAGCTAACGAGGTAGGTTTGTACATACATTTGTATATTATATTGTTTTAACGATTCCAAGGCCAACAACTTCAATTCTTCAGAACATTTGGAATAGACAGTTAAGAAGCATGACATTTAGAAATGACAATTATCACATTGAACTGACATTTCATATGCTGACATTTAAGGTGACTACACTGTATTATTTCAACATTTAGGATGCCAAATTGATAATCAATAGAAACTCAGCAACAGCAACCTTCAAATCCACTGAAAAATAGGATAATTTTGATTTGCTCTTTGAAAAATATCAGAAATGAAAATTTGGCAGGATGATCTTCATTTGATCCTTACTGATGGTTTCAACATATATTTTCTGTTGAATTGCCGAGTTTATAATTAAAACTAAGTCATCATAACATTTTGCATGCATTCTATAATCAGTCTAATCCATCTTTGATTGGAATAAATGAGTAGACAGATTGATTATCTGAAACTCTCTTCAATTCATAATTTATTAAGGACGGCAGAAAGAGTCGTCATTTGATTAGTATAATTGCTTATTTCACATAAATGTATTTTAATGATCTGATAAAATCGAAAGCTTTGACTAACTAACACCTATAAATGAGACGATTTCACTTTTTCCTGGCACAATCCATTGCTTGTGGAAGAAATTGCTCTATTGCATTTGATTTTGAACTATTGGAATCATGTATTCCTTCAGCTCACTTTCAGGTGAAATATGAACAATAATATCCCCCAAACGGCGCCACTAGTAGAGAAAATGAAAATTTATGTACATCAGAAAATGCACCTTGACGCATAGAAGACCTGTACCAAATTTCGTGAAGATGTCTACAAATTTATCTCAGTTATTATTAAAGAACTGATTTTTTTTCAAAACTTCATGACTCTGTATCTCAAAAGTTAAGACTTCTAGGACATACGTTCCTAGGAAGTTTTTTTCTTGAAATGAGTCAAAGAATCACTCCATCAAATGTGTTAGTATGTCTTCAAGGAACACCCTGTATATATGAGGAGATTTTGAAACGGAGTGTTTTTGATCCGATTGTGAACAACTAACTCACAAGAAATTGATATGTACATTATTTTATTTCGAGTACTGGTCTTGTGGTCGAGGTGTAGCTCTGATGAACTATAAGAGTTCGTTCCCATCTTGGGTCTGTTTTTTTATTTACGAATATATTAATTGAAATGTTCCAGGAACATTCGAAATAGAATATACTTTTGGACATATTCTATGAATATCTGAGTAATTCCCAATTACATATTCAGATAACATTCCACAGATATTCTAGAATATTTCATATTGTTCCTAGGATATTCCAATATTCGGAAACGAATATAATAGGAAGATTCATGGAATATCTGATGCTTTCTGGGTTACCATCTACGGTCCATAAAAGCCTATTTCACACCCTTGAAACATTAATAACTATATTCAGATTATTATCATTATTATTAAACAGGGTGTCCTAAAATAGCTGAGAAACAGAGCTATCACGTGTAATTGAGGTCAAATTGAGTTGATTGGACCCAATTTAGTTATATATAGGTACCAGAATGTACAGATTGCCCGTGAGAAGGGTACAATATAGGTATTCATAAGAAAATCACCTCATTGCAATTTGACGAAAATGCATTTTTGAGGATTACTCTCCTTTCAGTAAGTAAAGGAACCCAAAAAAATTGTAGAGTGATTGAAGCTAACCTCACCTCCTGACATTTTTTTTCAGAACATTCTTAAGGGTGGATATAACGGTTCCCAAATTTTTTTAACGAGAAGACAGATTAATTATATTTATTTTCTCACCCGTTTAAAAACTTCATACTCCCCATATTTTCGGAGGAAAATAATTTTTTATTCAATAACGCTAACAGATATTCCCAGTACAAGTTCGATAACATTGTTATAAAAAATTTTGTTGACATTGTAAACATGCACCTGTTTTTTATGTAAACTCAGAACTCTTCAAACGGACAAATGGTACATTTTGGTTTATAATACATTGGGTCCACAATCAACTTAATTCGACCCCTATCACACATAGTACCTCTATCTCCCAGTGATTTTGGGTAACCCTGTATATCAGCTCTCATTCCATGCTTATTGGTAGAAAGCCTGGAACATCTCATCACACGCCCTTTGAAAAGTGTGGACACGCATGTCACCACTGACATTTGACAAGTTGAATGGACGTCCCCGCGAAAATGTTTTCGAATAATATGTATTGTTCGGTAATGAACAGCAAAAATTCTAAGAATGGTCGTTACATACTATATTCGAGTTGCCTAATAACAAAAAGGCATTTCAAATGTGCGTTATAGCTTCAAATTCCGATATTCACGCAATGGGATAACATTCAATGATGTGATATTGATATAACTACAAAGTGAGCTTTATGATGTGCCTGTGTTGTTACGCCACTATTAGGGCTTCAAATAATTATATGATATGCACTCGTTCAATGGAATGGAACAGAGAAATGACATTCCATCTCTTAATAGTAATTTATGTACCAAGGACGAAACACTGTCTATTATGGTCGAGTCTGCAAATTGTTAGCCGAGGCTAGCAATCAGACGAGACAATAGACAGTTTCTCGCCGAGGTGCATATTCCTTTTTTTCGTCGACTTCAAACACTTATATTCACATCACGGTCCTATTCACACGTGAAATCTATCGGATTTCGTTAATAATTGATTTGACAACAGCAAATGACAGTTGTTGTCAACTCACTCTCCGCGCAGACCAGGATTGACAGTTCGATATTTATTCCATCAGTAAATATCTTGTCAAAAATTCAGTAGGTTTCAACATCTATTTTATGCTATACGAATTCCAAGAAAGGTTACTGAAATAAACCTATGACGTCAAAACATCAAGTACCATTAGTGAACAGAAGAGTAACCTATCTCCAATAAAATAGAAACAAACAAAACAAACATTCTTGTACAAAATAAAATATTATTTCTAATTCTCAATTCAAAAATACTCACAAATATCACAAAATACAGTTACATATACGAACGAATAGTAAGAATCAGCAACAAAAATACAAAACAAATGAAAAAAATCAAATGTAGGAAACAAACTGTTATAACAGAAGTATGGAAAAAACTGAATTTGATCTTATTCAGATAAAGATTCCTCCTTCTTTGGTTTATACATATCATTATTTATTATGTAAAATCAATTCAAACAGAGTGAGCCGAAATATCATGAAATTAAGAGGTGTATGTGATTAACTACAAATTGATGATAATATAGGTGGTTTTGTTAAAGAACAGATCAGTTGATCGATATGCAAATCCAGGAGATCTACTGAAAATTCAGTAGAACTGGCAACCTTGCAGTGGACGCGAAGTGTTTGCGGACGATAAGTTAGTGTCTATCGGATGAAAAGTACTTGCCTTCGGAAATAGTCGGTTTTTCGTTCGTAAATTAGAACGTAAAATGTGTTTTTTTGCAGAGGTCGACGAAAAAACATATTTGTGTTTTTGTTCAGCCGCTTAACGATATGACAGGTGTGTCCACACTGTTTCAAAAGGCGTAAAATGAGATGTTCTAGGCACTCTAGTAATGGGGTATCACACACGAAACCAATAGCCCCATCCAATCTCAATAACCAACTCCTCTCATCCGCAGTTCATCGGCATCGTGATGAACCTCCTTGAAGCTCTGAAGACATCCTTCTCGCATCGCTCGATGGCCGCCCGCCATCTTGGCAGGAAGGACTCCGTTAGCGACGCCGCCGTCGCTGGCGTCGCCATGATGAAGGGCTACCTCCGCTCCGTGTCGAACGGCAACGAGAAGTGCATGCAGAGGTACGTCTGCGAGGCTAACAGCGAGTGCTCCAAGGATATCGGCCAGAGCTCCCTCTTCTGCCATCTCGGAAGGTAACATATTCACATACATATATAATCAACTTCCTTTACATCTAGAGGCATTTGCTGGTACGAGAATCGAAAAATTTTCAAGCTAACCTCAAAATACTCTTACGCCAATACGTAGGTTTTTCACGATGCTCTGACTGTGCACCTCACAAGAGTATTTTTGTTTATCTCTTATGTCAGCTGTTTCCCTACGCCTATGGTAGTAGGTAATCTAATCTGAGATCGAATATTTGAATGTTTAGATGGTCTCCAGAGCCTATATAAGAGTCTCAATGAGGGTCTCATTGGTCTAAAGCATCTGGAGTAATAACTGTTTAGAGAATCTATAGAGTCCAAAGAGACTGAAGAGTTGAATGGGTCTGAACAGGGATCGGAAGGGTGTGAATCTCAATATCATCATTTCTGTAGAATCTGAAGAAAAGTTATTGATAATGCTAAGGAATTATGAAATCTGAAGATTCTGAAGATTTTCAAGATGATATCTCTTCTCTGAGTCAGCCAGTTCTTCAAGGATATTGGGCAGAGTTCCCTGTTCTGGCATCTCGAAAGATGAGATCCAATATTAGGATATTTAGAGGATCTTCAGAGCCTGGATGAATGTTCATGAAATCTGGAGAGTCTGAATTGGAGTCTGATGGGCCTGAATGATCTGAAGTAACATATGTATAAAGGATCTGTAGAGTCCAAAAAGACTGAAGAGTCTAATGGGTCTGAACAGGGGTCGGAAGTGTGTGAATCTCGATATCATCAGTTTATAGAATCTGAAGGAAAGTTATCGATAATCCCAAGGAAATATGAAATCTAAAGAGTCTGAAGATTCTTAAGAGGATATCTCTTCTCTGTGTCAAACGGCAAAAGGAAGTGTATGCTAACAGCCAGTTCTGAATTAGTCTGAATTACTGATGGGCTTGAATGATCTGAAGTAACACATTTATAGAGGGTCTGTTGAGTCCAAAAAGACCGAAGAGTTTGAAGAGTCCCAAAAGGGATCTGAAAAGGGGTCTGAAGGGTGATGGGTGAATACAGATATTATCAACATATAGAATCAGAAGAATCTGAAGATGAAATATTTAGGTTATTGAGAAGAAAGAAAGACTGAGGTATCTCGCACCGCCATCTTGGCAGGAAGGACACCGTTAGCTATGATGAAGGACTACCTTCGGTCCGTGTCGAACGGTAACAAAAAATTGCATGCAGAGCCTGCAGAGGTACGTCTGCGAGGCCAACAGCGAATCCACCCAGGATATCGACCAGAGCTCCCTCTTCTGTCATCTTGGAAAGTGAAATCGATATATATAGATATTTTGATGATTCCAAAGAGACTGAAGAGTCTGAAGGGTCTGTATAGGGATTGGGGGCATTTTAAGAATCTCGAAAAACTGAAGAGTAAAGTATACGAAGAAATCATTAAATCTGAAGGGGATATCCCTACTCGAACGGCAACAAGAAGTGCATGTAGAGATACAGTAAGGATATTGGGCAGAGCTCTCTGATTTGTCATCTCGGAATATTGGGATAGGTATATATATATGGTTCTTAGTGCCTGGATAAATGTTTGAATATTTGAAGAGCCTGAATACGAAAACTAATGAGTCTACTAAATGATCTGAAGTAACAAATATACAAAGAGTTTGTTGCATCCAATGAGACTGAAGAATAAGGTTCTGGAAAGGAGTCTGAAGTGTGTGAATCTGAATATCATCAGTATATAAAATCTGAAAATTTTGAAGAAGGAATCATGAGATCTTTGAGAAACTGTGAAATCTAGCACCGCTCAATGACAGCCCGCCATCTCGGCAGGCCAACAGCGAGTGTTCTGATGATATCGGCCGGAGCTCCCTATTCATCTCGGAAGGTGAGATCAAATATATTGGGATATGTTCTACGTTCACGAAATTTGAAGAGTCTAAGTGAAAGACTGATGGCTCTAGACTCTAGAGTCTCAATGATCAGAAGTATCTGATGTATAGAGAGTCTAATGAGCCCAAAGATATTGAAAAGCCCAGAGGGTCTAAACAGAGATTTGAAATGTGTAAATCCAAATATCAAGATTATAGGTATATGAAATCTCAAAAATCTGAACTGAAGTCTGGAGACTCTAAGGAAACTAAAGAGTCTGGAAAGTCTGAAGAATCTGGAAAGTCTGAAGAGTCTGAAGAATTCAGAGTCGAGAGGCTCTAGTCAATCAAAATAGTCAGAGGAGTCTGAAAAATCTGAAGTCAACAGTGTCAGAAAAGGTCTGAGTTCGTATAGAGTCTGTTGATTGAAGATTTTCAGAACTATTACTTATGAAATTGATAACAGAGTTTGGGTTAATCATTTGATATGAGTGAATATTGAAATTTTGCAATCTTATGTTTCGTATATTTTTGCATCGGACTAGCATAATAGATCATATCCTACGGAAGTCGACGAGATACAAGGTTAACTACAAGAGTTCTTCTCAATTGAATAGGTTATATCGGTATCATATGCAAATAACTGCTTTTAGATACAGTCGTAATAAAAAAGCGTACAAGTATATTAGAGAGGAATTAACGTCATCCAATTTGCGTAAAACATGCTATCGGGAATGATCGTTTACCAAATGTTGACAGTAAAATAATCATAGGTACTCAGAAACTAGTACTCAGAAACACAAAGCATTGGCTGAGCCACTTTTATATTACTACGATGATGACGGAAACCTCTCTTTTTAATACTTGTAAGCTTTTTTATTGAATACGACTGTACTTTCTGCTCGATTTCTTAGAATGAATGAAAAAATGAGAAACCAAATGTTCTAGATGAAATTCCATGTTTCAATCTACATTTTGTGTTACAGTTACGCAGTAAGTTTCATTTTGGATAAATCGGCACCAACCACGTCGTTTGAGATGCTGTACGAAGCTGGAAGGAAAGGAAGATTTGGAGATAACTGCCACGAGAAGTATTTAGAATGCAATGAAGTTTGAGACCTTAGACATGTAGCATCTAATTTTTACCTTCACAAACTAGGATTATGTCCATCGTGACGAACAGTTTCCAGGTACCTATATTTGGAAGTTGCTAGGGAAATATCGCCTAAATTGAACTGAACAAAAATGATTTGTTTATATTTAGATATTTCACAAGTTGCAAATATTCAATCAGTATCTATTTCATCTTCCAAATTCGGAACATGTTTCTATCATCTTAGGGAAATGAATACATTATTTGCTTTGGCAATTTTCTGCTGTGAATATAATTTCAGGATAGTCAGAACAGTTTCGAAATAGATAATTTTTCAAATTGAAAGAAATGAGAGTGTACAACCTACTCATTTGATTCTTTCGTGAACTATTTGAAATTACATTTTCAAAAATGATTCTCACGTGAAATTTGATAGATGGAGGGTTGTGAATTGGTGGAGTCTATTATTTTGTACCTAGAATTGGTCATCGAGTAACCCAAATAGCAAAATGAGCCTTTTTGCTCTGATACGAAACCATCACTTTTTGGAAATTTCCAAAAACCTTTTTATAAGTAAGTAAGTGACTGTATGCAGTGGATTTTCCACTCTGAATAATTAATGTTGAATAGTCTGAGCGAATGATATTTATTATGTAAGGTTTTGATTGACTGACGCTGTTTTGTTAATTTTATGTTATCATTAGTCTTTATAATATATTATTTATTTTTATTGATATTACACCTTTCCTGTTGTGTGAATCTTGTTTTATTTGGAATATAATTACATTAAAATGATGTTGATTGTTCTATTATTCATCTATAAACTGCAATGCTGGAGTCTCCATATTGATATAGACTAATTTTGCTGTTGTGTTAGTCTCAAGAATAATTTTCATGTTGGAGACAAGCATACTCGTTCCCAAAACATATGAATAAGCTATCTGGAAAATTGATATCAACACGGATGTAATTGCAGTAAGTAACTCTTTTATTTTTGACAGTTGAAGGAAAATAAAAGTACAAATTTACAAGGGATTTTTCTACCTTCTCGAAACATATTAATCGACGTTTTCACTATCTGGAAAGATATACAGGGATCCGCAAAATATTTTGGAATTTCAAACAGAACACTCTATATATTTCCTCACCACTTTCGAAGAGCATTCCAAAAATACAGCACTCAATATATTTATCTTCTTTTTTTCTCAATTCATGGGCATTCAAAACTAACAGAATGTGATCGATTCTTCATCGATTTTCGAAAATAATTAAGATTCAATCAAATTTTGTCAGCTTTGGAAGCTGATTGTACAGAAATCCGAAAGATAAATATGTACAGGGTGTTTCGTAATATGTGGGACGCACTCCTCGAGATGATGGTATTCTGTGAATATTTTTTAACTTGAAAATGGTAGGTACTCCTGTTTTGGTTCCATTTTCGCGATATAAAAAATCTGCTGTGTAATAAAGTGAGTACTTTTTCTCTAGGTATCTACCATATTTGCGATTCATTATCCGTTCATACCATATCAACAACAGTAGATTTTGATAGAAGGGGTATTTACCTTCATACCATAATTTTTGGTAAAATTCGGTACCCTATTAAGAAAAAAGCACCATTTTTATTACGCAGGAGAATTTCAGAATCGATTTATCTTGAAAACGGTGGATGCTATCGGAACTAAACACGAGTTTGATATTTACTGGTCAAACTGCCGAAAATTGCATAAACCAAAAACTTTGGGAAAAAAAGTGCCACTTGTTCAACTATTTTCCACGCATCTGATCGAAATTTCGGAAAATTGTCAACATCTTCAAATTGGGCATTTCAATTCAGGAATAAACAGGGTGTAACATAAGAACGTTGTACGTTATGAACATTCGCCCGAAAAAGCTCCATTTCGAAGATACATGGTGTTTTAATACAGGAAACAAACCATTTTTCGTTAAAAACTTCATGGGAAAAAAGTAGTTTATTTTGACGAGACTCACCATAATTATACTCTTACTCAGTATTGTAGTGTTCTCAGCAAGTTCACTTAGTGCCTTAGGAGCTGAGTAACATGCATCGATATAAAAAATTGTAAATATCTCGAAAACAATCACCTTCAGCGTTGTTGAGGAATTATATATTTTTTACTTGGAAAAGGTGTGTGCATGGAATATTTTCATGAAGAGTACCAGTTTACTATCAAAAATATGAATTTGAAATAAATAATGAAAGCATACGCAGCGCCCTGTAGATGTTACATGAACAATAATACGAAATTTTCATTTTCCACATCAAAAAAACCTCGGATTCAACATTTCGTGCAAATAAAAAATTTTTTGCTAAAAATATTCCAGAAGAGCGAAGAAAAAAATTCAAATTTCAACCCCTGTATCTCTGAAACAAAGCCTTACCGGACACAAGTTTATAGACTTTTTTTCCTAAATTTGTTTCAGGAATACGTCACTCGAATATTTCAACGTACTTATATTACACGTTGTATACAAAATGTGGTTATTTTATCACAGAGGGTTTCGAAAATATTAACAAAAAATCATCATCTCGGCTTATGTTTATATGAAGTTTGTTCACTATTTGTGTTCCTAGAATCTGAGATTGCAATATTTCTCTGTAATATTGGGACAACCTGTATATTTATATTCCTCTTCTTCAAACATCTGATATGTCTTTCTTAGACATATCTACATGTGGATAATACTCATATTTCTATTTCTAGAAACGAGGAGAGAATCTCAAAAAAATTTGGAGAATTGAAAGTTCAAGTTACTCATACCTTGAGGAATCAAACAAAGACGTATCTAAATCACAATATTTTATTTTCTAACAATTAATTACTCTCATATAGGTACATAATAATTAAATCTAATATAATCACTGTCTGGCTATGATGATAATACGGACCTACTCCACTTCCGAAGATAAGGGTGAAGAATGGCAGTATTTTTGTTAGGGGTTAGCTTTGTGTCCTCTTACTCTATACTGAAAAAATATGATAATATTAGTTGCTACTTGAAATATTGCTCCGTATCTACACTGTAGTTGTGGTTATATATTTACCTATCGTTTAACACTATCACCAGGTTTTTTCTTACATTCTATAATAATTTCGTCTCCAAACCGAATGTTGTAGCTGTACAATCTCTTGTTAGGAAATCTCATTTCTTCAGGACCCTGAAAAATAAAGCTGTTATTGGATGACTATAAATATTTTTTTAATACGATCGTGCAAGAAGTTTATACATTTTGAACTCTAAAATGTGTGAAAAGTTTAATTTTTTGTATTATAGTTCCTAGCAAAAAAACTTCGATAAAAAAAATAATTTGAAGATGGCCAACAACGGAACAACTCAAGTAACCCCATAATATATCTCTTATAATTCACAAGACGGTCGTAATTGGAAATCGCTGTAGATTTTAATTCAATTTTATCGCTTCGAGTGCACGAAAGAAAATCACTATAATAAGAATATCAATAATATCTCTTGGGAATTTTAGATGAAGTTTGGATTGATTTTCGTTTAGAATCTGTGCTGATACTTTGATGAAAAGAAAACGTAGGCATATAAGACTTGGCAGTGGGTTCTGTGTTGCTGTCGGCAGTTTCCAAATGAATCTGTTCGAGTAAGTCGGGAGTTATTCTTATCGAACAAAGTTTAATTTGTCGGTGACAGATTAGCTCGGAATATTCTGTTTTGGTCATATTCTCTAATCTAATTGTTTGAACTTGGTTGTATTGGATCTTGGATTTCATCAAGAAACCTATCTTAATCTGCACAAGCTCATGAAATTGCAAAGTTTGTGTAGTGTTTATTCCATCTCTTCCTGGCAGAAACTACACAGGAGTTATTATGTCAACCAATATTTCTTACATTGAATCTTTTTTTTATATATGATTTTTGTATTCATCAGCACTACCAAATTTGAATATCATACCCTAAAAATTCTGGAAACTATAGCATATATTGTCTTGAAAATTACTGTTGGTAAAACAATCGGTTGGGATATTAGATAAATCTCATTGTTAGGTCGTTGAATAGTCACTTATAATCTCTCTAGCAGCAGAATCATCACAGATAATCATTTTCATGGTCAAGAATGATTTCGTAATCGACTCGGTATAATCTTCTCAAAGAATCAGTGATGAAATTCCGAAAATTGAAGTTGCTTTCAATATGTTGAGAAGATAAACCTTTCGACCTATATTAAAAGTTGGCACTTGAGAATAACTCGTTTTTATTACTGAATTTTGACAGACATTGAATAACAGTTTTGTTATATCTGAAATCCAATGTCTCTAGGGATTTATAGTACCACTCATTTCCCCGGAATCTGGATCCTCATAGTTACTGAGGTAGTTGATATAGTAACATTCAACCGTTTCGATGACGTTTCAGAAATAGAGTACCTACCTACCGTTTAGAGACATTTAATTTTTGTTCGATATCTTTTACGTTTTACTTATCCTTGAGTCCGTAAAATAGTATATACACCTCAGGACTAAAGTGTTTTTTAAATCCACCGACGAAACTATTTTAACCTAGGGATTTAAAATACCACTCAAATCCCTAGGTGTATAATGTCCGATTATTTTCGATGAGTTTGGTAAAATATGACGCACTTTATTTCTAGAAGAAAAGTTGATTTTACTTGTCAATAACTATGGTTGATTGCTAAAATTTCAGGAACATTGAAAACATTACTTTGTTTTCAACCATAACATCTTATATTATAACATGTTTACATAGTTTCGAATGCAACTGAGTGACTTTTGACAATAGATATAGGGCACTTGATTTTTGACAGACAAACTATTACTCATTAATTTCATTAAGTTAACAGGAACTAACAAAATTATCGCGATAATCTCCTGTTGCTATAAGCAACGTCAACATCAAAAATGGGATTTCTAATTGGTTGAAAAAAAATTCATGAAATTTTCACTTATAATACCACGGGAGCTTCAATTATTCACTAGAAATTTGTTTGAGAACACGAATATTTTGAAATTTTTCCCGAGAAAAAAATTCCACACCGAAATATTATTGAAAAAAATACTAAACGCTAAATTAAATTCAAAATACCGACTTTAGTTGAGCAAAATATTAATTAGTCAGCTGGTAGTAGTTCAAACCATTATTCTTGACTTTATTTTTCTAAAAGTGGTGGAAATATGTTTTGTTACAAAGAACTGGAAGCAGTATGTATTATTAATGAAATTGACATCCATAACATTGTTATGGTAAATAAAACACAATTAACATTTTTTACGGCTAACACAAAATTTCTCTTGTTTTACTATGTTAGATACATCAATTAGGTACTTTGAATGTCATCAATTTTATTGCCGTATCTGATAACACAATGACCCCAGTGTGTTAAAATTTCAAAAAAATCTTATCGCCCATATGGAATGTCAAATTTCAAGAAATGACGGAAGAAATAAAAAATTGCGTTATCTATTACAGCACTAAAGTTGGTAGAAGTATATTTTTTCACAAGAATCTCGGAGTACTATATTTACTTACAATAGAATATGCTTGTACGTATTATTATTCGGTTTAATAAAATATAACTAACCGACTTCAGTTTGTTGAAATAATATAAAAAATAAGTCAATAATAGGCCAATCTCTCAGTTTTCAAATTCATCTAGATGAAGTTGGTAGATATAATTTTTTGCAAGGAACTCATCAACTAATAGAATTAATTCAACATAATCTGAAGTTAAACGTCAATGTCATTTCACCTATAAACGTCAAACAATTTCCAGTGTAATTTTATGCTCCTCTCCCCAAGGAGGAGGAAAAAATCCGGAAATTTGTTTGGCAAAGATACAAAATACAGGCTTCTAATTGATCAAAAATGTTAGGTGTGAAATTTTCACTTTCAATCATCCTAGGGAATAAATTATTGCCAAAAATTTTTTGAGTACATCAATTTTATTTTAAAATGCATGTACGAGACAAATGTACCGCAATTAAGTCATGCCCGTGGGGTACTCGGTAAAAAAAGCCTATATCGGGATTATATTGAAAAAGTGAGCATTAAGTGAATATTCACTCTCCCTGTACCCTAGGAAAATAAAATTTATAGTATCAGATACATTATTACATGAAAATAATTGATTTCATATGATTTTCTCAACAGGTTTCCGGAAAATGAAAAATATTGTCAGAACTATTTAATTTTTGTCTGGTATGAAATTGTCAGTTCAATCTCATTTTTAGGAAATACATACCTGCATGTCCCTCAAATCTTGATCTACATAGAACAATCGCATTTTGGATGCGTGAAATCCAGCAAAACCTTCTAGTTTGCTTTTCAGCTCAAACACAGTCCGATGCACATCTATAAGTTTGATCTCGCTGGTTTCTCCAAGAGTGAATTTGATTTTCACCCTCTTTTCTGGACGTAAATCGATGTTCACCAGTGGGTCGAGTTTACCGTGGATTTGAATCAAGTCGAAATATCTGGAAATAACGATAATAATCAAGAAATGGCTGACCTCTGGTGTCAGCTTTCAGAATAACTATAGATATGATGATAATAATAATATAATAATGAAAAGGAATATTCTCAGATATATTTATGAACACGAAAAAATGATTATATATGAATAAAGAAATACATTGAGAATTCGCATTATTAATTCTTTCTCAGTTTATTCAACAGAAAACAACTATACTTTCCTGGCTATATGCCACGACGAATATTTTATTACATCTATTGAACACACACGATAAGAATTTGGAAATAAAATCTTCTGAAGTAGAGAATTTGCATTCTCCTTCACATAAAGATATTCTGACTATTCAACAGAAAACAACTACTTTCCTGGCTGTTTGCCACGTCGAACATTGAATTATATCTGTTGAATATCCAAAAAGAGAGCATGAAAAATGAAAATCCTCTGAAATTGAGGATTGTCATTATTTATTTAAAAAATATATAAAATAATGATAATGTTTTTTCAAATGAGAATACTGGTTGTTATTTGATTGATGGCTGAAGATGAAGGATATGATTCTTAGCTCATTTCAAGAAGAAAAGTTCATATGAACATATGCCCTAAACCTCTTAACCTTCAAGCTATAGGGTGTTAAAATTTTGAGAAAAAAATCGTTTTCTTAATATAACTTCAATACTGTTCTAGATATTTTCATGAAATTTGACATGCACCTACTAAGCACCAATATGCATTTTCTGATGCAGGATTTTTTCAATAATAAAACTCTTTTTTCTGTGACGGGAAGAAAGTTTGGTATTTCATCTCTGTTGGCAGGTTATAAAATGTCACTTTTCATAAATTACTTTTTTCCCGTGGGAAATACACTGTTGATGGCTTTTGTTGTGCTATAGTTCCGAAAAATGAGTCAATAATACGGTCTCCGAGAAAGAACTGCAAGTCCATTTATCTTCCATTCGACTTCACAGTTACGTATATTACGAAACAACCACTAAATTCGCAATTTTTTGAAATCCAATAACAACAAAATAGACTGACCGAAGTGACATCAGATATTTGATTACTTCGAAAGAATGATAAAGATGCCTACAACGCAGGTGTCCCTATTGTTAAAAACTTAAAATTTCACGTCGATTATTTTCAGATTTCAAAATAATGTAATATCTTCTCAATATTGATTCGTCCCTTCTTCTGTCACAGAAAAAAATAGTGTATTATACACGGGAAAAATATTAGATTTTGGCTCACGGTTTTTTATCTCCCTCCGCTACGCGTCGGGAGACAACACAACCTGGAGCTAAAATAGACTACTTTTTTCCCTTGTACAATTCAAATTCCTGCATTTTTTACGTAGGACAAAAAAAAATAAAAACTTTTTTCATGCAAATAGTTGAATAATGGCCACTTGATTGGGACTTCGCGAAACTGCCATGTGATGTAACGTGTTTGCTGGGTGGGAGTTTCATTATAACTTATTCTTCAACTTCCAACAAGATGAATTATCTTCATGAACATTACCTTTCAGGCTGATCACTTTCTGGCTTATCCATGTAATATCGTATGAATGCTCTTTCAGCATCCTCTCTTTCTACGGGTGTTATCACTCCACCACCATTCAGTGTTTTGACATTCGGTAGTCTAGCTATTAGGAGCTGCCTTCTTTCGTGTTCAGTATATTCATGTTTCTCCCACAAAGGACAACCCTGGAATATTCTTGATTGTTATGGTGCTCCAGTCATAATGCAAGGTGTGTAACTTAATAATTTATTTACCAAAAAAATACATCAATTAAATCAATCCGACATAAGTGAGACATAGATAAATAAAAGGGTTGCTCATTTAAGTTCAAGAACTTGTCAATGAGTAACTCATCCTTTCCATTCTAATACGCTCACTACTATAATAATTGATAATAACTGAAACAAAATAATGGAAAGTGGAGAGTTGTGAATAATTGAAAATAAGTAGAATACATGAATGATTACTATATAAGTGTTGAAAAAAGTAGAAAATATGATATGAGGATTATTTTTTTTCCTTTTTTATACATTTTTTTGCATTTATTGATTTTTTTGAACCTGAACATTCGAAATCACTAACAGTTGTCATTTATGTGTGCGAACTCTTATCTCTAGTGACTCTAATTCAAACCGGTCCAAATTTGGTGAGAATCGGACAAATAATAGCTGAGATATAGAGGGGGGAAGGAATTTTTATGTTATAGTTCCCACGAAAATGGATATTCTGTAATGTTCAGAGAACATCGTGAAAACCAAGGGAAATAAGGTAGGAATTGGTGTTCTTCTTAAATTTCTGGAGGTTATATGCCTCGGGGAACACCTCCCATGGCAATGTGTTCCAGAGCCTCGCTGTTCGTTGAATGATCGATTCTTTGGGACGATATGTTCTGCAGGTCTCCAAAGTGACCACGAAGGGGTGCGAGGCCTCAACTCGACGGGATAATCTCGCGGGGACTGCCAAGGGAGGTACAATCAGAAGAGCATCGTCCATGAAAATATCCATAAAATAGAGCCAGATTGCCAACTTTTCTACGGTGTTCCAGAGAAGTGAGTGAGTTTGTGAGCGAGGCATCACCCACGAGACGAATTGCCCTTTTTTGGACAGAATCCAACAGTTTTTTTGAAGTGACACACGCTGTATATCTACATTTGCAGTTGAAAATATGACAATCTATTTTGTCTCGGCCTGTGGGCTCAATTATGGCTCATTGGCTCGCATATATTGTTACTATAATTATATTGGTCAACTTTCAGCGAAACAATAAATTTCGAACGAAAATTCAGATTAATTCATTTAGGTAACATCCTTATACACATAAACGGCATTGTTTTGATATTTTCAAGCCCGAGAGATTAGATGATATTGAAAATAAATTGTTCATATCATATCTGATGTTTTGACGGAGATATGCAAGACTGCGCAATTGTTGTCGAAACACATATAAAACTCTCAATGAATATAAATATAATCAATAACTGACATCTCAACGATTTTGTTCCTATTCTATATTTGACCTTCGAGATTGACTAACTAATACTTGTGCGATCCATATCATCCCACGGTTATAAAATATAATAGCAGTAACCTATCAATATTAATTCTTTTCAAAGTGAAATTGACGTAAAGAAAGCTCTATTGTTGGAGAGTTCCGTGACGTCAATAGACTGTTATTCATCATCAGTTGGGTGAAAATTCAAAAAACTATACCATCCATACATGAAATGAGTATAATTTTCCAAAATTGGAGATATAGTTTTGACAAGCAAATTATGTTATAGGTATATCATTTGATCAATACGAAATATGTATATACGGTAAGGAATAAAACAAAAACAACTTGAAATAGTACATTATACATCAATGCAAGATTTTTCCCAATGTGCGGGGAAAAATAGCATCCTGTCCTGAGGTGTATATACTATCTTTTACGCTGGCGAAAACACAGAAATCAAGGAAGAAAAAAATTTTGTCGAAGTGTTTTGTCATGATTAGTAGTAGTATAGTTTGTGGAATTCGTATCCTGACAACATGGTGACAGCAAATCTCAAACTGGAATTTATGAAAACAGCTTTGAAAATGGTTAACGGTTATGGAACAAGAAATCGAGGGAAAACCCCAAGTGACTATTGATACTGCTTCTGCAGTGATTCTGCTTAACTTGCTACCAGCTTTGAGTATTCACACTAGTCAGTGAGATATCTAAAAATCTGTATGACGCAGAGCTTATACACGCTTCAGGTTGTTCCGAAAAGAAAGCGCAGAGCTATGCGGATAATGTAAAGTTGATATAAACTCCCTAGGGAGAGAATATGTCACATTATCTCCCTAGGGAATAATTCGAGACTTCTGCTCCTCCTTTGTTACCAGAGAAACTAACTTCTACTCCCGCCGTCGTGAACATTATATTTCATATCGAGATAACAGAATTATTCCACTCGTTATTGTAACAATGTAATGAAACAATAATATTGAGTCATTTTCATTTGCAGTCGCTGCGTTATGCACCTAACGATACATCGAAGAATTCAGAAAATTGGCGTCTCTTCGACTGTCATGTGATCGTAAAGAATCTTATTGATAGTTATCAGCTCAGTGTTTCTCTGATCATAAACAAAGTTGGTCTAAAATTTTGCCTATCACGATCTAGGCTGAAGTTGAGTGTTGAGTGCCACTTATTCCTGAATATCAAAATATTATGTGCCATTTGTGACATCTTGCCTGGTACCTAATTCATTTTGATTCATTTTGGATTGCAGCGAACTACCAATGGGAAAGCAAAATACGAAATCGAAAACACGGTATGTAGGTATCCAGTATCAAAAGCCAGCAGCCAAAATACAAAAACATAATGTTTTCGATAATCAAAATCCTGATGTATTTTAAAATGAGTGGAATAATCTGTAACATGTGAAGGTAGGAACAATACTGTTCTTCTTACCTGAATTCTAACACACTCCAGCAGCGGGAATTTAGCCAGTTGGTCTATATCATCCCAAGTTGACAAATTAGTAGAATTCATATTGATTGTCCTCAAATTCCCAAAGCTAGCGCATGCAGAGCTATTATTGTTTGCGCTCAAACAATCGCCTGTTGCATCATCAATATCGTGTATGTTCAAGGATGAAATAGGACAATCAGCTAACACAAGGCTCTCCAAATTGGGAAACGCGTAGCCCAGTTTAGTAACTTCCATCCACTTGTTGACAGGATTTCCGTTGAAATGGAGGGTCCGAATGCCTATGTGTTTATGATCCGATTTGTAGAAATCGCAGGTACAATGTTCACGACCTTCTTCTTCATCGTTTTTTTCGGGAGAACACTTCATTCTCTCGTGATGTAAACAAACACTGTTGTAATCGTTGAGGCTCAAGTGTAACTCCTCCAGACAGGGGATGCAGTCGAGGAGTTCCAGAACGCTTTCCCATTTTATGTAGGTGGAGTTCAGGACCAAGTTTCTTAATTCACGCCATTTCAAGTCCTCGAAAATCTTTTGCTCCTTTATTGGTGAAGATAGAACATTGAAACTTAGATTCACGAATTTCAGAGATGGCATTGGTTCGAGTATCTTGAAAACCTGTGAAGGTGAAAGGGTATGAGAAGAAGAATTAGAATGTAGTATGGAAATGGTTTCACTTTTTGAACAACCAATCATTTTCAGTGTCTTTCAGAAAGTTGGCATCATATGGGAAAAACTTTTGCAAATCATTTATTTTGATGTTTGACTTGAACGTTAAGTTTTGCTTCAAAATAGATGGAAAATAGCCTGTTCAGTCGGAGTCATGTGACTTCTACTAAATGTCCGAAGTTAAATTTTTTGTTGTTTGTTTGTTGTTTCTTTTTTGATTCTACACATGTTTGTCGAATTCAAACGTTTTATTGTAATTTTTAGAATTTGATATTTTTTAAATTACTACGAAATTTCTGAAGGTAATACATATCAAAAAGATTGGTACTCCGACAAAACTGTTTCATACTGCCATGCTATAACTAACTATCGATTACTATTATCGACAAGAATAAGATTTTCTTCAGAAAATAATAATTTCGCTTCATTTCTGTTATGTTTGTTGCAAAGTTTATGTATCGTGTCAAGGGCATTTAGGAAATTCATTTGAATGGTTTTTCTCGATACTAAAAAGATGCCAAAGTCTACCTCACGTACCTAACTATAAAGTGCAGGACAATTATTTTGACGAAGTCAAAATCACAGAAGTTTCGTTGGAATCCAAAAATATCAGAAGCTGAAATTTGCAATAGAACGTTCAAGGACCCCGCACTTCCAGTGAATTTACTAGAATTTTTGATATATTGTAGAACTCGTGGTGCTGTTCAGATGTCTTATTGCACCAACACTCTAAAATCAACATTTAGGATTATATAGAGTGATAAAGTTGACTTTTCCAAAATTTTAGATGGAAATTGTGAAGACACCTTTCATAATTTCAAAATAACACCAACTGTGCATTAATTGTCCGAATGAACGATACGAATCTACTATGAAGTCTAATAATTCCTGCACGTACTTATAATATACAGGGTGGGTCGGAACATAGCAAATAATTCAGTGGTTTTCGGAAATGTGGGCGGTGGAATTTTATTTAAATTCTGTAGTATACAAATATCATCCCCAATTCGTGATATTAGCATCTCCTGATCAGACATATTATATACAAGAGTCACATCCATGTTAGGTACTTATTATTGGCATTATTTTTATGACACACAACTTGAAAAACCTATTGGGGAACTCGTTCATTCCATGATGAATGTCCACTCTGCAAATACGTGAAATATATGGAGTGGATGAAAAAATTAATGGTATTTGATAATAACTTCTCAAGAATAGAATATGCACAGATTCTTGTGATCCATTTTATTGACCCTGTTTCATAACGACCTTATATTCAATAAGAATAATTTGAACCATTCGATGTAGTATATTTTGAATAATATGTAAGAACGTACTGCAGGTATCATAATAGGTAATTCAGGTGATAGTGAAACAATCAACAATAGGAAACAAGAACAATGAATATACAATTATTATGGATAACAATATATTCTGATATTCAATCACAACAGAAAATCTGTACCTTACATAGTGTATTGGTTTCGTGTTATGGGAAGCAATTATATTTCCTCTATCACTATTTCATAAAACGAATTCGTTTCTTCAAATAAAGTAGTTGCATTTATTCAACTTCTTGAAACATTTCCAGAATACAACTCGTCATACTCAATTCAAGAATACCTCAACCCTCAAACAAAAATTGAAGTAGTGAACTGTTTATTATCACTGATTGATTCCATTCATTTAATCCATATAGTTTGTATAGGTATACCTATTGGTTCACCAATTAATTCTGCTCATTAACTTCATTGATACAAGACTTGGATGGACATCAAAATCATGTAGAGATATAGGTAGAAGAAATGCAAATTCATTCTCACATATATACCTTAATGAATGAAGAAATGGAAAATATGAAATTATTTGATGAAACAACAAGTTTTGACGGGTTGACAGAAACTGGAAATAATCATGAAGTGATCAACGGCATGTGATCAACCTGATCCTCTCGATGTGCAGTGTCTTAGATATTAATGAGAACGGCATTTGATGGATACTCCATGTTTTGTAATAGAAACAAATTTCCTTCGTGAACGTTTCTGAGATTCGAACAAATAAGCCTATTTTCAGCGATTATTTTGAGGAAATGTAACTTTTGACAAAACCGCGATTGGAAATATGCCATCTTTTGAAACGAAACTTAGCGCCCAAGTCGACAGTGTAAAGGTGAAAGACCATGGTTGCTATAAGTGGGCTAGTATAATTGAAGGATGAAAAGAAATCCCAAAGCACTATGGGCTTCATTTCACCATTCAATGTTTTATTTTTTCCATGTATTTACCTCAGACCACTCATTGAGTTTATTTTTTGCAAGGTCCAGTTCTTCCACACTCCCGCATTTCGCTTTCAGGGCATTTTTCTCACCAGCTGAAGTGATATCACAGTCGTTCAGGACAAGAAGAGCTGGAACCGCTGCTCTTGGTGATTTGCATGGTACGAAAATTGATATCGAAATGCCTTCGTCTTCTGAGCAGTCCGATTCAGTTGAAATCCATCCATATTTCTGTTCAAGAGCTTCTAATAGAGTTGGCATTTTAGACGGGTCTGCAAAGAAAAATAGTTGTATGTGATATTATCAATGATCAGTGATACGTCATCTGCATTTCTTCATCTGTTGGAACGCACGAAAGGACATTCCTATAATGGTCGAACAACATCATGTGTACCTAGGGAGGATAAGGAGAGCAGGTATAGGTGTTGGAGTTTTTTTTCAACTTTTGGAGGTTATAAGTTCTTGGGAATACCATTGGTAAAGAATTCCAAAGCTTTGCCATTCTATAGACGGACGAGTTTTGGTAGAATGTTGTTTGACATAATATCTCAAGGTTGACCTCGAAAAGGATGTGCTGACTGGGCTGGTCGAGTTCGTCTAACTTGTTTCTGTGATGAAATCATAGCAGAGATTTCTGAGGAAGATTTCTATAGAAAAGTACGAGAGCTCTTCGACTTTTCATACGGTGTTTCAATGAGGTCGAAGGATTACTGAGTGTGGCATCTGACACTGAAGAGTATTTGAGAAGGTAGATGATTTGTCATAGACGAAATTGGTTCGAAGTATCAGGCTCTTTCAATTGTTTTGCCGAAGAACTAGGATTTTTATTGCACCTTGAACTTCGAGAGGCTTTTTATTGTTGGAATGTTGGTTTGAATTGATCTGTTACTTGAATCACATGTAGTATGGTCCAATATCTACAAAACAATCTTGAAATGATGAACAGAAAAAAATCTATCGGATCTTATATGAACCTCATACACATCACAAAACATAACGAGTGGTGGTATCAAAATTCCCGATGAAATATTCATTTCTTTGTATAACAGGTGATGATGGTATTTGATATCAGGACTCAGGTATATAATAGAATAGAATTTATTTATACCAACGACAAAAATTACATTTTTGTATAGTACAAGTCGAACTTCCTCAAATAATACATAATAAGTTGAACAAAGAATATTTTGAGATTTGAATTATCAATGTTTTTGTCTTCTCAGAAGCACAATGGACTGTTTCAATCCCAATCATTCAATGAAAACATTCTCACAATACAAGGTGTATACACAAAAATCTTCTGAAGGGGACATTGGACATGATAAAAATGTAAAACATACAATGTAGGACACTTAGATACGAAACAGAATTACCCTCCAAGGGAGCCCTCAGAGGCGGCCGATGCAGGCCTCGACGATGATTTTTGTCTAGCAACCCTGATGGCAGTCATGAGGGAGCGGACCCCTAGGAGTAAACCTATAATCCAGCTCATGTCACTGAGTTGCCCAGGGTAGAAAAGATTGATCGTCGATTGCTACCTTGTTGTCTCTAATTTAGCATTTTTGTGTTGGAAAATAAAAGAAAAAACCAACTTTTGAAAATTCTCTGTGAGAGACTCTATGAGGAATGAGGGGTGAGATAGGTGTGGGTGGGTGATTGGGATCTAATAGACTGATTTCGTATCGGCAAAAAGACTAGTTTTGTTAGCCGATAGGCTACAGCACCCATATATAAATAGTGAAATTGGCCACTCCGCTACGCGTCGGGAGACAACACAACCTGGAGCTAAAATGTACAAGTTCTTCCACTTTGATGTGTATGAATGAAATAACTTTTTCTGCAATTCAGTGTGTCATTTTGAATTCCTGTGATATATGAAAGTTTCGTTAGAATTTGAAACACCTAATGTATATTTATTAACTAAGGGGCCTGGTTAAGATTTCTGCGAATGAGGGGAATGAGAGGGGGGGGGGGAAGTTCTCAGCTACGCCGATGCTCCGATTTGAAATGAGATGAAATAACAGATTTTTTTGAAAGGGCGGGTCACGCTAGAGATTTCATTTGACCACAATCTGCATTGCATTATGTTTCGCCAAGCATTCACGCTCGAACTGCAAGAAGAATTACAATCTTCATGGCAGAATCCACACAGGATTGGTTCATTTCAAGGCATTCGTAACTCCTTCAAAGATTGTAACCAAAGAAATGCCAGATAACTTATGCTCTCTGGCAGGACTTCTGGAACATTATTATCTCTAGGCTTGGACTGTCGGATGATTCATCGTACTGTCTTGAAGATGATGAAACAGCAGAGAAATCATATATTTTGTGCCTGCCCGATTCAGGTTTTTGCTATTCATTTATTTATTCATTTATTTGTTAATACAAATACATCGAGCAGGCCCAAAAGCCCATTTACAGGTGTATACAATCAGCATTATCAGTAATTACACATATAACAGAATCAATTCTGAATGAAGCGGAGAATCTCTTTTTTGAATTGTTTGAACGTTAAAAAAATATATCTACACTAGGAACCTTATTAACACTTCTAGATATAGAAGATATGGGAGAATTGAAATGATGCACTGTGTTGAAACTAGGAATATGGAATGTGCTAAAAAACCTAGATGAAATACGCGGTACATTGAATAGCATATGAGACAATAGGGATGCACAATCTATTTTTGTCCATGTATGATTTTATATGCAAAACACTTTTCTCGGCTTCTCCTAGATTTCTTTAGAGATATCATATGAAACTCATCCAACAATGAATCATAGCTATAACCTCTCTCGAAATTTGGCAAGTCATGAAGATTGCGGCGAATATGATATAAATAATAATGATTACTCAAATATCTTTGACTTCTTCAGCGAAATTCAACGAACTATACTGGTGGGTATCCTCGATTTTTCAAATACAACAAAAAAAACGAAACATGACCTTGACTGACTGGAGCCTTTCGAGGAAATGCCCAGACTTACACATACAGCTTTGTTTCGCCGATGTCTAAAATATTCGCATCAAGATTTGCATTCATCTTTCGAGATCGATACACCTCGAGTCTGTCTGTTGAAATTCAAATTCTTTTTATCCAAGGTTTTTTCCAAGGTCGTTTTATTGTAGGAGAGCCGGAAAGAAAAGTAAAAACATTGTAGTTGATCGAACAGCACCTGTGTCAATCACTATCCTGAGCAAAATGATTAAAAAATTGCACTTTTCTGTGCGGAAATGTGCACTCGATTTCACGATTTGATAAAGAGATAAGAATTATGCCATCCGATACCAATTGAATGGTAGATCTCAAAAACCTATCTGCGCCACCCCTCAGTCTGAGCCAAATCCACGGCATGTGATAACGAGTTGAAACAAAACGCAAATGAAAGGAAGCAGCTTGGTGCAGGGATTACTACCTATCAATTATTAAATTCATCTTGAGGAGAAAGTTCCTGTTCATCTCAATTCATTGAAACATGAAAATTTAGGATTTATATAAACTACTTACCAGATGAAGTGGAACAGCCAAAAAAATTTACTAATTTTGATAAGCTATAACTCGAACATTTCTTGGCCGATGTTGTATTTTAACCAAAGGTAGAAAGCGTCATCCTTGGGCTATGCGTCATTGGCGTCGGGTTTTTATTTCTGCGATTCGTTCTCTTTATACAGAGTGTGAATTAAGAGCCGGAAAAATTTCAAATTTTTGACCAATAATTTGGGAAATGTGAGGGACCCTAGAATAATTTTTTAGATGTTGTGGTAAATGATTTCTTCGATACCTCGAGACGTCTTTGAAATTTTTCTGCTAAATTGTGTTGCTATGGAAAAATTGCCATTTTGTGAAATTTCATTTTTATTTTTAAATGTGGCCTCTTTTCGTTAAACTATAACAGCCAACATCTGAACTGCAACAAGGGATATTTCTACTGAAGATAATTAACACCAGTGGCGCGCAAAAAGGGGTTTATGATATTTAGAAACGAAAAATTCGTTTTTATTGAAAAACTTCAACAGTTTTATTGATCGTTTCAGTTGAAGAGGTGGCACATCCTCAATTAGCATTATGTTGACAAATTCAGAGGCGCGCAAAAAACGGTTCATGATATTTAAAAACGACAAAGAAGTTTTTATTCAAAAAAATCAATAAGATTTTTTGAAATTTTTTCTGACAAAATTATCAAATTGTACGGCTCGAGATACATCAGAAGCCAGAATTACATTTCTGAATGATACAAGAAAATTTTCACTGGCGAACAAAGAACAACACTTGATGAAATTATTAAAAATGTTATCGTATCGATCTTTTTGATTCGCTTGAATGATGGATCCTCTTTGATACGTCACTGGATTACTTGGATGCTCACCTATTCAAGGTCTAAAAAACAATGATAATGAGACTGAAATTTTGATTTGTTTGTCACGCACGCCTCTAAATTTGTCTACATCATGCTAATTAAGGATATGACACCTCTTCAACTGTAACGATCAATAAAACTGTTGAATTTTTTCAATAAAAACGAATTTTTTGTTTCTAAATATCTTGAACCCCTTTTTGCGCGATACTGGTGTTAATTATCTTGAGTGGAAATATTCCTCGTTGCAGTTGAGATGTTGACTGTTATTGTTTAACTAAAAGAGGCCACATTCTGAAATAAAAACGGAATTTCATGAAATGGCGATTTTTCCATAGCAACTCAATTTATCAAAAAAAATTCGAAGACGTCTCGAGGTATCGGACCAACCATTCACCCAACATCTGAAAGAGAATTCTAGGGTCCCTCACATTTCCCAAATTATTGGTAAAAGATTTGAAATTTTTCTGCCTCTTAATTCACGCTCTGTACAAAGAGAACGAATCGCAAACATAAAAACCCAACGCCAATGACGCATAGCCCAAGGATGACGCTTTCTACCTTTGGTTAAAATACAACATCGGCCAAGAAATGTTCGAGTTATAGCTTATCAAAATTAGTAAATTTTTTGGCTGTCCCACTTCATCTGGCAAGTAGTATATGTTGGACCGCACGTAAAAAGAGGGAATCACTATTATGTTCGATTAACATCGTACGAGCCAAGAGAGGATACGGAGACAATAAGATAGGTATTGAAACTTTTTTCGAACTTTCAGGGATGATGAGTTCTTGGGAATACTTTCTTTGATGAAATACTGTGACCACATAACTTCGTGATAGCAATATGCAATACAACTTTTCTACCACTGCTTCATAACGTCAAGACAACATCCATTATTGCGACGTTCAAGTATTG